GGTGCTGGGAGCTCTGCTCATCGTGCTCTGGATTCACACTTGCTTTGTTTGGAAGGGGAAGAGGGGGGCCAACTGCTCGACCCCTGAGCTTTGCACGTTTGTTCTCTATGTTCCAGTGCAGGACTGTGCTTCAATAGCTTTTGTGCCAGCGTGAATAACAAGCAGCAGCATAGATGGGATCTAATCAGGGAGCCCCAGCTCTGTGTGCATTCACCCAGCCTAAGTGACACTCCTGCTTTTCCTCCTCCTCCTCATACAGCCTCAAAGCCCGAGTTGAACAAAATCGAGCACACTTGAGAGCTCTTTAAGGCATTGTATATCAGGCTGCTTTTCCCCTGGGTTGATTATTGAGCGGCGTGGAAGCTGCAGATCAGAGCTGCACCCTATGTTTTATGCAGCTTAGGAGCTTAAAAGATGCTTTTGTCATAAATGTCACTGCATCTTGAAAGCAGCAGCTGTCATCCCTGAGGGGCAAGAGTTGCAAATCTCCACAGCAGGAGTTTTTCCCCTCTCTCATCAGAGCTGTAAGCAAGGCTGCTGGTGGCTTCGTGTGTGTTTGAAGTGCTGCTCGTTGTGCCACCTGCCTGCTCGGGCTGATGTTGATGCCTCTGTAGCCTGCCTGTGAGACACTGCAAGGAAAAGTGGCAGAAAAACCCAACAAAACAGTGGTGGAAGCTCCCAGGTCTGGCTCACTTTGTTTGCACAAGCATCCGTGCTGGCACAGCTGAGGGTGCAGCATCAAAACAGAAATGAGCTGTGGAAATACCTGGTGGTGGAGCACACTGCCAGCTGCTTGGTTGGTCAACAGCCTCTACCTCTTCTACAGAATTAATTGTTGTGTTTGAATGGGTTTTTCTCCCTTCTCTGCTGTCCTGCTGAGGGTTTTCCCTTAGCACAATGCTCTCATTTTGCCCTTGCAGACACCCAAGGTGAGGCTGGGGGCTCTGAGCACTGATGGAGCTGTGAGTGTCCCTTTTCATTGCATGTCCCATCCAACCCAAACGTTTCTCTGGTTCTATCTGCTGGGGCAGCCCTGTTCCTAATAGAATCTTCTGCATCTTGTAAAACTTTAAATAGCCATCTGTTTTCTTTAGGTGGAGCTGCAGGGCTCCTCTGTCTCCCTGGTGCTTTGAGGCTTCTCCAGCTCTTGATCAAACTCTTCCTATGAATCAGTGAGGCTGGCGGCAGCATTTCTGACTGAACTAGAGCAACCTTTTGAAGCTGTGATAACGTGCTTTGTGCTTCAGCTCAGAACCAGCTGGCAAAGGAGATCCGAGGCTCTCGGAGTTCTGTGTCCCTCGCCTTCCATGAAACATCACCTGGAGAGCTCACATCATTTTTGCTGACAACAACAACACAACTCGTTTTGGAATCAGGAAAATGAACGTGCATCTCTTCCTTCAGCATATGATTCCAAGTCTAAAAGCAAAGCTTGGAAGCGAGACGGGTTGATTTGTGTTTGCACAGGACTGAGCAGAAGATTCCTCTCCTGCTTTGTGTCTCTAGGGAAAATGTCAAGAAGCTCTTGTGTGTGTGTGTGCTGAGTGCTGTGCTGACAGAGCTGAGGAAAGCTCTCATCCTGCCAAAGAGGGATAGGCATCAGCTCAGATGGATCACCTGGAACTGCAGTTCTTTGATATAGTGTCCATACATGTGTTTGCAGCCCATCTTTCTCCTTTCGGTACCTAAAGGGGTTGTAAGAAAGAAGGGGACAGAGTCTTTTTAGCAGGGTCTGTTGTGATGGGATGAGGGGAAATGGCTTCAAACTAGAGGAGGTTTAGATTGGTTGTATAGTTTTTTACAACAAGGGTAGTGAAGCACTGACACAGGTTGTCCAGAGAGGTGGTGGGTGCCCTGTCCCTGCAGACCTGTAGGTGTCCTCATTGACTGTAGAGGAGTTGGATAGATGGCCTTCAAAGGTCCCTTCCAGCTCAAACGATGCTATGATTCCTTCCTGAGAGGCTGCTTTCCTCTTGGTCTCGGTTGTCAAAAAGGAAAATCCAGTGCAGAAGATAGAAGTGAGCGATGGGTGGCTGCACAACTTGTCTCAGAGACAGGGAGTTACTTCTTAACAGTTGCTTTTCTGCTTCAGATGCACTCACATGAGAAAGCCTGCAGTCCTTCCCACCTCCTGAGGAATCTCCACGTGCCTGCAGGCTTGCACTAGTTAGCAGGCAGGTGTGGGGTTCTCATTTAATTTAAGGCTTCTTTACAGCTTATGGAGGCATCTGATCTCTTCTGATCCCAGAAACCCTTCAGTTTGGGTCCTGCCAGGTGAACAGAAGGGAGAGCAGTGTAGAGCAGCACGAGGTTTCTGGAAAGTGGGTACATTTCCCCAGGGAATGGGCTTGGGAACTGCACAGTTCGTTCCGCTCAGAGCTTCAGTAGAATGAAGCCTTCCCTATTTTTAAACAGAAAGCTTTGGTGAAATAAAAGCAAGGACGCGGATGGTGCAGCAAATGAAACCTCTGCTTGCATAAACAGATCGATAAACTGATTTGTGTTTGCTGACCACAAGAAAAAGCTAATTGCAAGTACCCCGTATTCAACATCTGCGGTGAAAGTAGAGTAATTGGAATAATGAGAAATCCAATTTGCTTTTGCTTGGAGCTGCTTCTTCCCTAGGCTTCATTTAGCTGGACTGCTGCGTGCATTGGCTGGTTGTTGCAGGCTGATACGTTCTTTATGGAGTTCTTCAAATTCTAACTCACCAAGTTTGCCATCTGGCCTTGGGCACCTGCAGGGATGGGGCACCCACACCCATAACAACACTTTCTTACATGCTTTTCCTGAAAATGTAGCTCTGAGGAAAGTGTTCTTGTGTGTCAGTCCTCAGGTATTTATTGATTTTAATTCATCTTTTGTGTCTCTTTGGATCAAAGTAGAAAAGAGAGGATGGAGATCCTGGAATGACTGCATCTCTGCGATACAGGTGATATTCAGAAGGATAAGAGATTGTAGGCAGGCATAAAGAAGGTCCCCAGGAAAAAAAAAACAAGGTTGGAGTCATGCAAATCCTGCGTTTTTTTTTTTCCATTGGAGTGGGACAGGAGCTATTTCAAGCTATCCAGGTCATCTCACTTGCTGCTAGCCATAGTGCAGATGGTAATGAAGACTGAGAAAGATGATTCCCTTTGCTATTTATTGAACAGAAGCAGCTCCAGATGCAGAAGTATGGCAGGAGGTCTGCAGGCTTGGTATGTGATTGTTCTCTGTGCATGTCAGAGTCAGACTGAGCTCTCTGGTTCTCTTGTTGCACGTAGCATAAGGACTGTGTGCTTCAAAGCATACATGGCTCTGTAAAATGGACTGGTGTGTTCAGCTGCAACCTTCAGCATGCTTTTTTCCCCCACATTTGAAAAGGCTTTTTGCTATTTTAGATATCCTCTTTATCACTGAACACCTTAATAAGTTTCTGATCAAAGGTTGTCCATATTCTTTTATGCAAGAAGTGTCTTTTTTTACTCAGCTGATCAAATGTATTGTGGTAATAAATGGTGAGGAGGAAGTTATTCAGTGGTAGGCAGTGACAAACTGATGATAGCTGTAAACAGCAGACAGCCTGAACTTCAAGCCATTTTTATTAACTTAGTTCTTGAAACATTGGCAGGAATGTGATTTCTCTGTGGCTCCAAAACACAGAAGTGGTGTCTGATTCTCCAGAACACGAGGGCTATAATGATCAGAAGGATTTTCATTTCTATTCTGACTATGCTGAGGATGCTGAGTTTTGTTCATGCACCAGTATTTCCTTTTTGTCCCATATTTTGTGCTGTTTTCTCTCTTTTCTTGGATAGTTAGCAGCAGTGCTTGTGTATCCCTTTGGAACACATGAGCTGAGGTAAGTAAGCAGGCTGTTTTGGTCATGTCTTGCAAAATACAGTATAAAGTGCTGTATGAATATGGATCGTGGACTTTCTGTACCCTGATACCTGAACAGCACATCCTGAGTGTCGACCCGAGGGACGGAGCAGCATTGGCTGTAGACAGGCAGAACAGAGCAGCTCTGAGAGCATCCTGCCCTTTCAGTGTCAAGTTCTCCTGTGGATTGGCTCTCTTGCAGGTGGCTTTCAGCTTCTTGAAAAGGGAAGATTGCTTATGGTGAATGGCAAACCTCAGAAAAATCAGGACATGCCTCTTCTTTGGACCTTTTGTAAGAAGAAAAGGGCATTATATCTGACTTTCCCATTGGTAGGTGCTGAGTTTTAAAAGATAGAATCCTGTCATAGAATAGCCACGTTCTTTTCTTCCACACCAAAAGAAGGATGAAAGACGGGCAGCAGCAGCCTGGTTTTTTGATACACGTGCTGTTCTCACTTGGTTACACGTGTGTGGTGGTGTGTGACCTCAACTCCTGCACCAGAATCTTTACTTCATTGCCTTAAGCTGTTCAGCTGTTGTTAAAACCACTTAGAAGGGGTCTCCATGCACCGTGTTATCGGTGTTTGTAGGGTTTTATTGCTGTGCTTTGTGTATTAAGGGGTTATAGGAGTAATCAATTGTTTTCTGGCCTGGCTCTGTTTCTTTAAAACCAGAACTCCTTCCTGTTTTCTTGTTGTGATGCGTTCACAAAAATTCCTTCTCTACCATCACCTGCTGCATTTTGAATGTTTTGTGGACTTCCTCCCATTGAAGAATAAAAGGGACAAGAAGGGCTGGTTGCTTATAATTGGGTGACAGATCGTAGCGTTGGTGAATGTGTGCCAATCCCAGTGTGCAGCTCTGTGTTTGTGTCTGCCAGCTGGGAAAACACGTGTGGACATGAGGTGTGGAGCTGAGGCAGCCTCGTCTCTGTCGAGCTGCTGGATTCCTTCTTCCCCCTTGCAGGTTCTCAAAGTCATTGCGTCTTATTCTTCTACTGTTGGAAGATTTGAGGATGAAAGAGTGAGAGGAAGGGGCGGAATGCCCTGCAACACCTTTTAGGGACAGGAGGAACGAATGAATGAAGCAGCAGGGTCATGCTGGGATATTTTGTTCTAATTCCTTCTTTTGTATTTCAGCCCTGGCCCAGCGTATCCAACCTGGCCAAGGATTTCATCGACCGCCTGCTCACCGTGGATCCCAGCGACAGGATGACAGCCCTCCAGGCCCTGAAGCACCCCTGGGTGGTCAGCATGGCAGCCTCCTCCTCCATGAAGAACCTGCACCGTTCCATCTCCCAAAACCTTCTCAAGAGAGCCTCCTCCCGCTGCCAGAGCACCAAATCAGCACAGTCCACACGTTCCAGCCGTTCCACCAAATCCAACAAGTCAAGGAGGGTTCGGGAAAGGGAGCTGAGAGAGCTCAACCTGCGCTACCAGCAGCAATACACTGGCTGAGCACCAGGCTGGGACCTGCCCGAAATCTTTCCACACATCTTCTCTGCAGTGTAGCTGTGCAGCACCCTTTGCTGCAGGTTCCTCCCTCCCTTCTTTCAGGTGTATCCCCTCCCCTCCACCCCGCCGTGTGGAGGAAAAGGAACCTTGTGGTGGCACTTGTGGGCCAGCTGTGCCCGTGCAGAGAATGGAGCAGCTCTTTTTGCTCGGAGCCTCGAGTAACACACAAATTAAGGAGCTGCAAACGAGGAGAAGAGCTCTTTCTGTAGCCCAGGAGCCTGGTTGTTCGTAGTTATTTATTAATTCCACTCGCATATGGAAACAAAATCACTTTGTATGTGTGCACGTAGCACATACACACGTGGGGGTGTGTGTATATATTTAACAAATTTATATATACACACATTCTGAACTGGTTTAGTCACACTCTGTGGTGCCTTTGCAGTGCAGCTGGTGTGAGTCACATGCAGTTAGAACCAAGATAGCACTGACTCACAGCGTGCTGCCCATCAGCTCCTCGTCCCAGTGCAGTGTCATGGAGATGCCAGACAGCAGTTGTGAATGCGATGGCCGTGAAGCTGTGAGGATCCCCAAAGGGGGCTGCCTGCCATCGGTGTGCTGACATCAAGGGTTTGCTCACATGATGCAGATTGGCAACCGGACCGAAACGCTGCCACCTCGGAGCTGGAGTCCCATCTCTTTCATCCTGACTGCAGGGGTGCTCCCCAGTGAGGGGCAGCTACAGGAGGATCATCCTGCAGGAACTTTGTGCTCCACAGAGATGAAGGCAGTTTTTAGGGGTTCCCCTATTTGTAGTAGGAGCAGTGCCTAACAGGCAGGGTTTGGTTTTGTTACCGTGATGTGTGCCTTACTGTTACCAACTGTGTTTCCAATGCTTTGGTTGCTCTGGGGTGTTCCCTGTCCTCCCCTGCTATTGCCATCAGTTCCCTGGAGCAGGGAAGTGGTGGTGGGAGCTGGTGGGGTGACCACAAGTGGCTCCATAGGGGTAGAGTAGGAGCTTGGCTAGCAGAAGCCCAGTCCTGAAATGACAGCAGTGAGAGATGAGCAGAAACCACCGAGCTGTTAGATACAGCTTAAATCCACCAGGAAAAAGTGGGCTTTCAGTTCTATTGAGCTGAAAAAAGGAAATTTCTAGGGATGTGCTTCCCATCCCAGTGCTAGGAACCTAACTACTTCATGTATCTTTTGTTCCCAAGCTCATGGTGAGGAATATGACAGAGCATACTTAAGGATGATGTCTCAGACACTTGCAGGGGTGAATTCCAAACCCTTTCCATGGGTTTGCATGTTACATTGGAAGCTCTGCATCCCTTGCAGGCTGCTCTGTCCTGACTGCCCATCCTTCCATCAGCATTAACTGCTGTTGCAGAATTACTAGCTGTTTTTACTTTAGCTCTGTGGGCTATGGGTGGAAAAAAAAAGGTTCCTTCAGCTTCTTTTCCCTTTTATTGTAGTCTTTCCTGGTTCGTTACCAGGAATGATCAACTAGACACAGTTTCTGAGAAAACAGGCAGCTTGCCATGTTCTGCTTCATTAGCAGCTCAGTGCTTCTCGTATTCCTGCAAACAGCTCTTCAAAAGCAGCAAGTACTTCAAGGCAGGTATTAACTGGAAAAATGCTCTTCCCCTTTACCTGAGGAGCTGGTTGGATGCTTTCTCAGAGGGCTTCTGGTTATGAGCCATTACTTGATGTAGTCTTCTGCTTGTTTGGAGCCTCACAGCCAGGCACTGTGATCTTTATGTCCACTTTGGTGCTTTTATAGCCTTCCCCAGATGATCTTGCATGCTTACCCTTAAAGCAGGTCTTTTACCTATGCAAGGAAGTCAAACTGATGGACTGAGCCAAGACCCCTAGAATCTGAGACCCTTTCCTTTAAGCACTGGGCCACTGACATGCCCAGATTTGTTTGTACCTACCTTGTCCCTGTGTGCTTCACGTGGATGCAATAGGAGTGCAGGAGGTTGAGCTCTGGTCTAACCAAGCTTGCATCTCCTTCACACAGCAGAGCAACAATCTTCTAATCTGTGGTTTAAAACAATTCCTTGGTGCTTTCAGCCTTGCAGCTGTGGCACGTTTTCAGCTAGGGGACAGGCAACGTGCCACCAGTTCAGGTGCCTTCACTTCAGCCTGTCCTTTGAGGAGCTTTCACTGTGAATGATCTTGCTCATCTTCATCTGTATTCTGCAGGGGCATCTCAGCTCTCCATTAATCTGATATCTCAGGACTTTCCCCTTTTCAGAAGTGCCTTTGCCTGAGGATGTTAGAAGTTAAAATCTATGATGCTTTATTGTTTTGTTTCATGTTTTTTTCCCATTTCCTTCTTTGGCTCTTAATGGTGGTTCTTAATTTGGGTGACAAATTCATTGCTGTGTCCTTGGGGTGCAAACCTCACTGGAGGAGTGCTGTTGTTGCCTGTTAATAGGGTGAAAATGAAGCTGGAAGGACACCTAGTGGCAAGCTGCACTGTGTCCTTGTCCAGATGGGAGGTCAAGGAAGCATTGTACATTTGTCTTTTGGAACTTAGCACTACTGTGTAAAGCAATCCTATCGTTCTGCCCTGGAAGTTTCCCTGCTCTGTTGGGGAGATGGATACAGCCTCAGAGAGGTGCTGGCAGATTCCTTGGTATTGTGAAGGGAAATGAATGTGAAAAGGTCTTCCAGACTAAACGTTAATAGTCTACAGACTGTTCAGCTTTGCATCCAGATTTCTGTGTGTGTGATGTATTTTCCTACGTATTTTGCTAAAAAGCAATTGCTTGTCCAGCTGTGATTCACTTCTTACTCTTTCAGGCTTTTGCAGACTGACACATCAGCCCAGAGGTAGCAGATCCCCTCAATCCTTCAGTCCAGGAGCAGCCTGTGCTGCTTAGCACTGAGGTTGCAGCAGCACCCAGTTGCTCCTGTCTGTTTGAAGTGCTCTGCCTTGCTGACATGAAACTGGTGCCACAGAGCCTGTTTGTTTGGGGAATGAGAGAGCCTTAAACTCAGCTGCTTTGGAATTGGATTTTTTCACAGAATCACAGAAGCATTAAGGTAGGAAAAGACCTCTCAGATCCCCACGTCCAACCCCACGGTGCCCACGTCCCTCAGTACCACATCCCCATGGCTCTGGGACACCCCCAGGGACAGTGACTGCCCCCATCTCCCTGTGCATCTGTATCAGTGCCTCACCAATCCTTCTGAGCAGAATTTGTTCCTAATATTCAACCTGATATTTAGTCCTTCCTTTAGTTCAGATTTTTTCTGCTCTGATGATTTAAATTCTCTCATGCTCTGCTCTGTTTCTCAATCCTGTTTTCTAGCAGAGCCATAGTGTTAGCCTGGGGAGCACGAGTTGTGGTCAGCTGTGCTATGGGGCAGCATTTCTGGATTGAGCTCCCTGCAAGCTGTGGTGAGTTGTGAAGCAATGTGGAAGCCAACATGTGGTGCTTTGCAGGTGGGAGCACTCCCATTGAGATCCCTGGTGTGTGGGGCCAACATTGGCTTTCACCTTGGGCAGAGTATCACAGAATCACAGAATGGTTTGGGTTGGAAGGGACCTCAAGGATCACAAAGCTCCAACCCCCTGCTGCAGGCAGGGCCACCAACCTCCACATTTAATACAGCCCAGGCTGCCCAGGGCCCCATCCAACCTGGCCTTGAACACCTCCAGGGATGGACGGGGCATCCACAGCTTCTCTGGGCAGCTGTTCCAGCACCTCACCACTCTCTCTGTAAAGACCTAAATCTTCCCTCAACTTAAAACCATTTCCTCTCGTCCTGCTGTTATCTACCCTTTCAAAGAGTTGATTCCCCTCCTGTTTGTAGGCTCCCTTTAGGTATTGAAATGCTGCAATGAGGTCACCCTGCAGCCTTCTTTTCTCCAGGCTGAACAAGCCCAGCTCCCTCAGCCTGTCTTCGTAGGAGAGGTGTTCCAGCCCTCTGATCATCTTTGTGGCTCTCCTCTGGACCCCCTCCAACAACTCTGTCTTGTATGGGGAGCCCCAGACCTGGACACAGTACTGCAGATGGGGCCTCACTGGAGTAGAGTAGAGAGGGAAGAGTAAAGCAGACTCTGGCTCTTTGGAGATGGCACTGGAGCATTCCCAAAGTGCTCCCTATCTGTAGAAAAAGTTTGGCCCATGGGTTTGGGCAGCTATTTCCCAGCCTTCTTCATCCTGGAAAACAGCATGCCATGCCTGTTTCTCTCAGACACCCAGCCCCAAGCTGCCTGCACTGCTCTTGGGAGCTTTTTGGTGCTTCTCCTGACCACTTGGTCTCCTCTTCCAGCCTGGATTCAAAAACACAGCCCTCGGGTGCTTGGTGAGCATCAGCGAGCGGTGAATTTGCCAGAAAATGTGAAGCAGCAGGGATGCTTTGTGGTAGCAGCATCATGGAGCGTGGTACCTTTCCCCCCTTCATGTCCCCATGGTGCAGAGAGCTGCTCCCCCCACACCTTGGTGACACCGTGTCCTTCTCCTGCTGTCCCCCCCATGCTAACACTGTACATCCCATGCGTGTGACCGCTGAGCCACTCACTGCTGTTGCCCAGATGTTGCACTGCGTCTATTGAATGTGGAACAAATCCTGGCCCAAACCACAAAACGAGCACCTAACAGATTGTGGGAGCCTTCCTGTTGCCTTTCACTGCGGAAGGACACCTCCTGGGGAAGCTCTGGGACCTTCCAGTGTTCGCTGTTATTTTCGGTCACCGAATTTCCTGTGCTGGGCTGGAAGCACAGCATTCATGTCCTGTTCGCTCCTAACGAAGCGCCCGGTTCTGTGCCTTGCCTTTGGGCCCTGTCTTTACAGACTGTCTCATCAAATGAGGTCTGAAGCGTTGTAATTAGTCTGTAAGGTTCTGGTTAGAGTGTACAGAGCTATTTATTTTGTGTACTCTGTTAAACACAGCAATGTATCCTGTGTACCCCATTGCTGCAGTGTGCTTCCTTCTGGCTCTTGGCTGCTGCTCTGGGGTTGTGGATGGTGGCTGGGTGTTGGGAGCTGCTCACCCCTCTGGAGGGACTGTGGGCTGGGTGAGTTAGGCACTTCCTTTTGGAAATCACAGCTTTGGGTGCCTTGAGCCACTTCTTCATTGTTACCTGGCTGGAGAAATGCCCTGCTTTGCTCACAACTTTCCTGTGTGTCACTTTTCAGGACCAATAGGAAAACCCATAGTAGAGAGAAGCGTGCTCCTTGTGAACCACATCCTGCTGGAGGGGTGAGGGCAGCAGCAGGGGTGAAGGTGAGCAGAGTGCTCAACAGACAACTACAGAAAGTGGTTTCTCCTGCCCACACCCCCCATCCCCACATCCCTGACGACCTTTAGAGCCGCGTGGAAGCTGGTTAAAGCCAACGAAGTGCATGCTTGTTCCACGTGGCATGTTGTACTTCAGTACTGCTGAGTGAAGGCACAATCCAGCTATTCCTGTGGGCCTTGCTGCCACGTATCTTGGGGCTTTGGGACACCCTGGTCTTCCTTCTCTATGCCCAGCTCTATATCCAGCTGCTAGGAGCCAGCCCTTCATTCCCAGAACACAGCCCTTTGCTCCCACACCATCCAGGACTCATACTTAAATTGGGATGCTCCCACACCATACTTAAATTGGGATGCCTCTGATTGTATTCCCAGACTGCTGAGACCTTTTTCGAACCCTATGCACCTCCTGCTGTGTGCTGCACCACAAGAAAAAAGGAGCAGGGCTGGCCACAAGCACATGCTTTATTACTCTGCAACAAAGTGAGCCTCACTTTGTGCTCATCCCTGTGCTGCTGGAGCAACAGGGATCCCCTAGGCTCTACCCTTGGGCTACAATTTGGTCGATCCAGTTTCGGAAGTGGCTGACACGGGTGTAGACAGCAGGCGTGCGGACGTTGCAGTTGCTGCTTCCCCAGGAGACGATGCCAATCAGGGTCCAGACGTTCCCACTCTGGTACACGAGGGGACCTCCGGAGTCACCCTGCGGGGACGAGAGCTGCAGTTTAGGGATGCCCCCATCCCTACCAGTCCCACGACCTTGCTCCAAACGGAGCCCTGCCACCCCAGATCCTAAGATGCTTGAGCTCTCCAAGTGCAACACCCCACACATCCTCCTTGTTCCAGGCACTTGGTGTGGGGGGAATTCAGCTCCTCACCTGGCAGGAAGAGGCTCCAGCCCCACCGGCACACAGCATGGCACTGGTGATGCGGGTGCCCCAATACTGCTGGCACTGGCTCTGCGAAATCAGGGGCAGGGAGACCTGCTGCAGGCGTGACGCCGGAGCGTTGGCTTTTGGAGGAGAAAAAAGCTGTGTTACTCACTGTTCATCACATACGTCTCTCCATGCGCACACCAATGGATGCAGCCATGCGCTGCCACCCTCCCAGCACAATAAGAGCCTCCCCAAGAGCTGCAGGGTACCTACAGATGGTGCTGGTGCGTCCCCAGCCGGTGGTGACGCACTGCTGGGAGTCAGACAGAACCAGGTTGGCAGCAGCCAGGCAGACAGGGGACACACGGGTGCCCAGCTGGGCAGGCGAGGAGAGCTTCAGCAGTGTGATGTCGTTGTTGAGGGTGTAGGTGTTCCAGTTGGGGTGCGTGACGGCCTGCCGAGGGCACAAAGTCTTCGTCCTGGCCATGGGGCAGAGCTGCAGTGCCCTCCCAGAGCTGCAGCCACCCCACTCACCTTCGACACAGTCTTCACCTGGACAGCCTCAGTCTGGGAGGCGAGGTTGTATTCCCCAAGGACGACAACGTGGGAAGATGGGCTGCAAGAGAGAGGGGTTGGGGGGTCCCGCAGCACCACCGGGACGGAGTGGTGGGCTGCTCAGTGCCCAGTGTGCCTTGACCCCATGCCCAGCGGGGTGCGGAGGGCATCGCTCCTTACTTGAACTCGCAGTGGGCGGCTGTGACCACCCAGTTCTCGTTGATCAGAGAACCACCGCAGAAGTGGGATCCTGTGCGAGTCTGGGAGGAAAGGAAGATGAGGAGCTGGGGATGGGCAGGGGGTACCCGCACAGCAGCCCTTGCATGGGAGTGGGACAGGGATGTACCTGCAGGGACACCTGCCAGGGCCAGGAGCCGGACACCGCGTTCTGCCCATTGATGATCCTCTCGCTGTACTGCACCGAGGGGCTGATCAGGGGCACCCCGCAGCCTATGGAGGAGCACAGGAGGGCTGAAGGCTCGTGCCCACCGGCACCTCCTGCACCCTGAGGACCTGCCAGCACTGTGCAGGAGGACACGGAGGACACCTACCCAGCGTTGGGCTTACCTGAAACGGTGCTGGCCAGGGCCAGGCAGGTGAGTGCCCACAGGAACGCCATCCTGGGAAGACATGGCAGTGCCCCAGGGCTGCTGGCTTTATAGCAGCTGGGAGCTGTGTGGCTCGTAGCCAAGCAGGGCAAGGTCCTGTCCTGTCCCAGCTGTGGACAGTGGTGCCATGCCAAGCCTTGCACCCACCCTCCCCTGAGTGGTGACAGAGGCTGTGGGATTGTGCTGCAGAAAGCACCTGTGGTGCTTGGGCTGCTGCTGAAAGGAGTTGGGTGGGTTCTCCACTGCAGCTTCTATAGCTGAGCTCTGGTGGGATGCAGGCAGGGTTGGGGTGGGTGTTGGTGCTTGGGCTATGGGAGATGGCCAAGTCCCTCCAGGCCTGTGTGAGAGCTGTTCTTCCCCCACACAGCAGTGATACGGTGGCCTGGCAAGGCGTTGTCCCAGCTGGATGTTCCCAGAGCCCAAGGCCACCCTAGGTACACCCCTGTGCAGGTGAGCACATCCCAAGGCCAGGTGGGGCAGGCAGAAGCTTTCCCAGGCAGTCAGGAGCCATGAAGAGCAGGCAGCAAGCCCCAGGGAGGACAATGGACTTCTCCCTGAGCTCGTCACCTCTGAGCCCCTCCTGCAGGTGCCTGATCCCTCTGCCCCCCAGGACTGCGTGCTAGGGAGTAGATTGGTTTCCCCCAAATCCCCCCATCACCAACCTGGGCTCACTTGAGTGCCAGGAGCCATCCCTGGGATAATCCTGAGCATGGGGATGTGGTCCCTGCTCTGTGCTCCCCATGCCCTGCTCCCCTGAGGCACATTGGCTGGACACAGGTAAGTGATTGCAGAGCTCAGGTCTTTATTTTTGGCATCAGTGCCATACAACAGCAGTGGGATCAGGCCCATCATAAAGCAGAAAGAGGTGGCAGAGCATAGAATTCAGCCCTTCCACTGCCCAAGGTGCCTGCAGGGGTGGCACAGCTGTGCAGGCCAGGCAGGAGGAGGAGGCAAAAGGGAGCTGTGTGGTTCCAAGGAAGCAGAGCACACAACATGCTTTGCTCCTCACCTTCCCCTGGCATATAAGGAGAAGAAGACCAAGGGATGGAGAGCAGCAGAGGATGATTGTGCCCAGGAAGATCTGCCCATCGTGGAGGAAGCTGGGACTCATTTCACATTCTCCCAAGTACTGAAGTCTTGGACTTTGATGCTGTTGTAAATGTTGACCAGAGAGCTTGGGCAGATCACTAGAACTCAGGTCTGTCCCTTCATGCCAGCAGGGAGAGAGTTGATGGCAAGAGTTCTGTGTGTTCCTTCTCCTCTCTGGTCATTAGCCATAGTGAGCTGGCTGAGATCCATGCAGGACCCAGCTGGTCCTGTAAGACCACGTAAGCCTGGGTCTAGCAGTGCTCCAGTTTTGGAGCTGTGGTGAGAAAAGAACCAACACACAGGTCACTCTGCCTCTCTGGATGCACTGGGAATTGCTGCAGCTGCACAGAGATTTGGCCTCACCCCAGCTGTAGCCCCCTGTCCTTTGCTCCATTGATCCTCTTTCTCCTCCAGGCAGTAAGCTAGACCTAAGCAGCCTTGATTTTCTCCTGAGCCAGGTCTCCTAGGTCTGCTTGGAGGGTTAACAGCTCAGCAAGGCAAGCTCAGAGCAGGATGTCATGTATCCAGACTGTCCCAACACAGGGCAGGGTGTGGGGATGCCCTGCGTCCCTCCATTCTCCCCACACACAGCCTTGGAGCTGTCCTGTTCGGTCCATACATCGGTGGGGCAGTGGGAAGCAGGGCTGTTGCAGGCAGTGGGATGTCTCAGGCACACTTGGCCTTGCGCAGGCAGAAGGGCAGCTCAGGTGCAGGGACCAGGATGGTGCTGAAGATGGGCCGGTAGCCTTCGGGCAGAGGCTGGGGGTTCTGTGCCATCATTTCCAGCACCACGTGTCTCACATCCTTGGAGATGTCACCCCGGAGGTCCAGCAAAGTGGAGATGTGCTCATCGCTGGGCAGAGAGCAGGAGGTGAGCTGGGAGCAGCTGGCTCACAGCATCATCCCCTGCAGCCCTGCTTGTGTCCCTCAAATCTCCCATGATCCAGAGAAGCTGAGGCTGGGGAGAGCTGGAACTTCAAACCAGCTGAATTTTTAATCGGCTTGAAAGTAACCCCATAAAACTTTTAAAGTTTTCATCTTGGCACTTCATGGATTTTGGTCAATTCTGACATTTCCAATTAGGTGATTCGTGATGTCTCACCCTTTTGATGACTAAATACGGACAGGTGAGCGCCGCAGCAGAACTGCTTTTCCTTTTCCATCTTTGTCATTGGGTTTTTGCAGGAATCCCTCAAATCTGGGTCATGGCAAAAAGAAACCTCACAAAGGAGGGAGCCCAGGTTTCTGCATGCATGCTCTCCAGCCCGAGCCTGGCTCCCCAGAGCAGTCATGCCCAGTCACAGGTGAGCAGAGCTGAGTTTCCTACCTGACATCGGGGTACTTGGTGATGAAGCCCAGCACCTCTAGGCTGAGTAGCCCTGGATCTTTGAGGCAGATCAGCTCCCGCAGAGCAAACACGGCCTCCAGGCTCTGCTGGCTCCTGTCCAGGCCCTGAGAAGGGAAGTGTGACCTGGGTGAGCTCCCAGCCAGCTCCCTCCCATCTTGGCTTCACAACTACCCTAAGTGTAACAGCTGTTTGTGGGCTGATGCAATTCTCCATCTGCTGTGAGCTGCAGGAACAGCTCGTAGCTCCTTGCACTCACCTCGCTTATGGGGCTACCCCAGGGCTTGTGCAATGCCCCACTCTCACAGCCCAACCCCAATTCCCCACCACATTCAGACATCCCTCACCAGGCTGCAGAAGAGCTCCCGGAGCTGCGTGGCGTCCTGCAGCAGGCGGTCACACAACTGGCCCCTCTCCTCCTTGCTCTTGCACACCATCTTCTTCTGCATGAGTGCCCTCAGGTATTGGCTCGCCACCAGGAGCTCACTCTCCATCAGCAGGACCTGAGCACCAGGGCAGAAGAAAGCTGTTAGCTCTGGGGGTTGGCCACAAATTGCCCAGGAGAGGGGAAAGGAGGCAGAAAGACATTTGAATTTGGGGCAAATATGTGTGATGGTGCCCTATGGGATGCTCTGGAGGATATGGGACATCCAGCAGATCTCTATTCCCCTCCCAGCACCCTTTGGGCTGTATCCCGAGCCCTAGCACTGCAACCAACTGCCCAACACCCTCATCCTGCAAACCAGCAGCCCATCAGAGGGAAGCCCTGCAGCAGCTGTACCGTGAAGGCGGGCTTCCTGACGTGGGAGAATTCCTTCGTGTATTTGTCGATCACTTCACACATGCTGTTGACCAGCTGGGACCCAGAGAGCCACTTGCGGGAAGGCAGCTGCACGTAGAGGGGCTGAAATGAACACAGGAGGAGCATAAGGTGCCCTGCACTGCATTGCTCTTGTAGCAGTTCCCAGCTGAAGAGAGGCACAGCATCCCATAGCGCCTGCCCTCCTGCAGCCTGGCAGCTCAGCCAAGCCTATTGCTACCAGAGGGTCCTGCTTGGCAAAAGCCAACATAAAACGGTGATCTACATCAGGAAATGGATGGGAAACATGAGGACTGACATTCCTGGGTCTTCCTGATGCTCACAGGTCAGTGTTTTGGGGCTTTCCCTGGGCCACAGAGCTTCACTCTCACTGCTGGGCACTACACCACAGCCAGCACCTGAGATCTGGGGCAGCAAGCTGCTCCTCACACACTTGCTTTTGGCCTGCCCTGATGCAGTTTTAATTTCTGCTCCTTTTCCTGTGTAGACATAACATGCTTTTGGTTGGGGGTTTGACCTCTTCCTCCCCTGCTGTCCTTGTAGGCAGGACCTTCCTGCCTAAAGGCACAGTCTCTCCATAGTGTGGCAGTCTCCAAGCTGCTCCTTTGTTTCCATGGCATTCACCTTCCAGCCCTAAATAGCAATACCATTAATTTTTCCAGATTTGCTCCAGGCTCCAGGAAAGCTAAATTTGACTATGCTGGCAGGAAACGACTCGGGCAGTCACGCATGGGTTTGTATCCTCTGCACGGATATGCTCCCTCCTTGGTTTTGTGCCACGAAAGAGCCACAGAAAAGGAGAACAAGGGAAGCCAGGTGGGCTGTGGCTCCCTGGCCCTGTCAGTTGGTGGGCTTGGGGCCATGTGCCACGGTGATACCGGGTGGTGCTGGCAGGCTGGTGGTAGATTATCAAGGTCTAGGAGCTATGTTTGAGGGATGATAGCTGGCTGAACGCTGCTTGCTAGCATGGAGCACGTGGCCTATAAGCTAAGCAAGAACAGGGTAGTGATAGTGCTGTTCTTGCTGGGGAGGGGTCTTTGCATCCCTAGCAGCCTTGGGCTGTGGATAAACATACTTGTAAGTCAAGGAGCAGCTCCTCCAGCAGCAGCTGGCAGGCTTTCTTCTGTATCTTGTCCAGAGCAGCCAGGAGGGATGCAGGGACTTCTCTGCAGGAAGCATTGGGGTGCAGAGAGGGGATAGAAGAGCTAGGAGAGAGAGAGAGAAGGGAGGGGGCAGTTAGCCCAGGATGTGAAGGAAGATGGAGAACATGCGGCTTCCTTGTGGTGGTTATTCTGAGAGGCAGCCATGAGGCATGCATTACCTGAGAGCCAGGTTGTTGTTGAGCATGGCCAGGAGGTAGGGAACATAGTGCTTGGGTACGGTCCGATCCTTCTGGTGCTCCTTCCCACACTGCACGAGGACTTCCCTCAGGCTGCAACACAGCCAGTGATCCGTGATGGGCAGGCAAAGCTCCTGCCACAAATGCCCAGAGCTAGGATGCTGTTGCAGCACCTGGGGGAACGTGGGCCTCCCACAAACCTCCCAGCTCACTGCTGCCAAGCTGGCAGTGGCCTGTTCTTGGGCAGTATAGGATAGCTGGACCCATTCTGGATCCCCTAGGAGTCCAGAGCAGGGCTCAGCACCACCAGAGAGGCGCTTGGGGCAACACACCCTGGGATCTGGTGGCCCCCAGGAGCTGGGACACAGCCCCGTGGGTAGAAAGGCTGTGCTGTGAGGACCCAGGGTCTGCAAGGATGGGTAGGGGAGGGAGGGGTTCCACTGACCGTCCCAGAAAAGCCTCGAGCTCCTCCAGGGCCATGTTGTAGACCTTCTGCTGCAGAGAATCTGTGATCAAGGAGGCTACCTGGATATTCTCACTCAGCATCTGTGCAAGGAAAAGAGAGTGGAGGTGAGTCAGGGGCCATGGCCCCTTTTGGGGTGCTCTCAGCATGGTCTGCCCCAAGCTGCACCCCAGAGAGCACTGAACACAAGGGAAAAGAAGAGCCCGACCACATCTCAGAACAACATGGCCCTGGACAAGCTACCAAAGCAAAAGTGCCTGGGGCAAAAGTGCCTGGGGTCAACCACAGTGCTGGGCACCCACCTGCACGACAATGACAGGCAGGGCAGACTGGAAGAAGCCCTGATGGTCCATCTCAGGTTCCTCTTCTCTGAACCACTCCTTGAACTCCACCTCCAGGGTCCTCTGCATCCACTCGAGCACGCTCGCCTGTGGGATGGATACCCACCACAGCCAGTCCCAAAATCAGCTACCAACACCCCCAGACCCAACGCACAGCCCAGCAGTGAGCCCCAGGCCTCATGCCAGTGTCAGAGCAGATGCCTGCATGGTGGCCATGCCTGGGAACCTACACCCATTGCTGCCCTGCTCGCTCACCTTGACTTTCTCCACGTATTTCCTCTCTGTCTGATCCACAAGCTCAGGGGAGATCAGGGGGCCCAGAGAAGAAACATCCACTTCTGGGAGGAGGTCAGGGTGACCCATCACCTCCGGGCTGGAGGGCAAAGGTGGGACAGGGCTGTGTTTGCCTGCAGTTTCTACACTGCCCTCCCCAAGGTCCCCAGAGGCTGCGTGTTGGTGACAGCCTGGTTCCCTGCCTGCAAGGCAGGTGCTGACCTGGGGTACATGCGAAGCACCCATTCGAGGAGGAGGAAGAGTGCCTGTTTGTCCAGGTCCTCTCGGAGGATGTCCTGGAGGTGGCCACTGAGGGCCCGGTGGTACGTGGCAGTGCAGACACTGAGGATGTTGTAGTGTGCTGGGACACACTGGACCATCAGGTCCTTCACCACACGCAGCTCGGACACGATGTCCCTCTGCAGTGCAGCGAGGTGCCTGGCCAGCCCCGGGCCTTCAGCATCCATACGGATGGCATTAAAGTGAGCTGCTGTGATGGTCTCCTGGAGAACATTGTAAAACTTCTGTCTCCAGCCCTTCGGGCGGCCAGGAGGCAGGAAGGTGGCATCCAGGAGTAGAGTGTCATCTATTTTCTCCTCCCGCTCAATGATCCTGATGGCGGTGACAAAGAGAACTGGGTCCTCCCGCACCAGCTGCAGGCTGCTGCTCACGATGCCCCACAGCTGCTTGGCCAGGCTCTCATTGAGCTCTTGCAGACAGCTGAAGTAGGACAGCACAGTTGCCTGGGCATTGGAGAGCCCACGAAGGTGCAGCTGGGACAGGATGTCATCCCGGAGGTGCTCCATCATCATGAGCTCTGCGTGGGCCTCCAAGAGGTGCTGCTCACGGAGCAGCTGCAGGGTATGGGAAAAAACCTCATGGACTGTGGGAGGAGAGATGCCAGGATTGAGCACAGGGTGGGAAGGGGGTGTGGGCACAGGTTAGAGGGAGATCACGAGGGGAAGGTGCTCCTGGGAGGACAGTGCTGGGAGGCAGGGGCATCTCCATCCACAGACTTTCCAAACCCAATTGGCAAAGCCTGCACAACCTGCTCTGACTTTGCCACCAGCCCCGAGCAGAGCCCAGGGTTGGACTGGAATAACTCCAAGTCAACTTCCAACCTAACTCCATATGGACTGAGCCAGTGCCCTACCTGAGAAGAGCTGGGGCAGCACCTGGACCACAGAAGCCAGCTGCACGTGCTCTGCCATCAGCGCCCGCATCTGCTGCAGGTCCTGGAAGCGATCTGCGCAGTCGAGCAGGGCCCACCTCGCCGCCCCCATGTCCTGGCACACGCTCTGCACCTCCTGGACCGCCGACCGCAGTTGCTCCAGCCCAGTGCTCACCCCCTCCAGGTAAGACTGCACAGTTGACTGAGGAACAGAAGAGGACAGAGGGGCAGCAGAGAAGCTCTTGAAGGCTCTGTTTGCCCCCAGCCATGTCAGGCCACTCTTGCGTGCCGTCCTCCAGCCCCAGAAGCTCAGATCTGCCTCTGCCACTATGCTGTCCCCACTCACCATGATCCCAAGTACACACAGCATCAAGAAAGCTGATCCAGCAGCAGAAACGGCCCATTTCACCCCTTCTGAATGTGCTGCATCACAGCTTACCGTGACTGTTTGCGAAGTTTGGGGTGTCCAATGGCTACTATGCATGAGGTGAGAGAAGGGAGGGCATCCCTTTGGGGTCACCAAGGCAGCAGGGTGAGCAGTAACCAGATGTCTCCTTTCAGTTTTAAAACCATTTCCAAAATCAGAACAATCAGACCGCTCAGGTTGATTGTTCTTCAGGTTATGCAGAAAGGGTTCACAGTGTCACCCTGATCAAGGAGGTGTGTGCATCCTTTATCTCTGTGTGCAGAAATACTGCTTCTCCTGTGTGGGCTTTGCAGGCAGGGATGGGGCTGCCTCCTCCCAACCGTGGGGAGGGGGATGGGATCACGATGGGGAGCACTGTGTCCCACACGTGGGATGTGTTGAACACCCTTAGTGCATTGTTTTAAAGGACAGACAGAGGCAGAGGAGGCTCATTTTGAGTAGGGCAGGGGTGGTACCAAATCCTAAAGAACTAAACCTAAACAACTGCTTTTCTCCCACCAAATGCCAGCCAAGGTTCCCACCAAGGATAGGGTTTTTCCCAGAAGTGGAAAAAATGATGATTCCATGCAGAAGACCCTGGCTGGGATCCGTGCTTGGGGAGGTGTGAAGCTGTGAGCACCCACTGGGGGGGACACAACAAACACCCACCTTCAGCCGGGACTGGATGGAGCCGTTCCTCTGTGTCTCTCTGTTTCTGTAGTGCCCGAGGCCCTCCAGTTTCTCAGGCCGATAGAACACCCCTGAAGCCCATTTCAGAGCAGCTCCTCTCGCTAACTTCTCAGCCTTTTCCACCTCTGGCCACTCCTCATCTGGGGATGAAGCCAGGGGTTAATGAGCAAAACGAAGCCTCTCCTTGCAGGACAGGAAAGGCTCCTGAGGCCAGAAACAGGAAACCATTGTGAGCGGATGTTCAAGCACACCCAGATATGGGAAACTGGACAGCAGGGCAGCAAGGAGACATCCTGGGAGGGCTCCCTGACATCCCACAGCCACGGATGGGGCCACGCAGTGGACAGCAGGCTGCCCCAAGGAGCTGTCATCCAACCCACCAGCTTGGGGTGCCACCCTGAGGTGACCCAGCACAACAAGGACAAGTTGCCCAAGGGGGTTATGTGCCACCTGGGCAGGCACTGAGTCAGCAGGTGGCACAAAGAGCTGGCACTGCCTGTCCATGTGGCACTCCTGGAGGCAGTGGTGGCTCTGCCATGCTGATAGAAGCAGATCCAGGCTCCTGGTCTCCTCGGTGTTCCAAAGGCACCTGATGGCTTGCGTGGGGCTGTCTTCTCAAAGAGTCCAAACAAAAGTATCCAAAACCACGCCAAGGGCTGAGGGCTGTGACCCAGCCCATCTCCAGGGCTTGGTTTCACTGTTTGTTTCATCATCTCCCCCCTTCCCAGAACTGGGGCTCCCTGCACTCCCCCTCCACCCCCCCGAGGATACCACCCTGCCCCCAGCCGAGCTCCCCCGCAAGGACACCGCTGCGGCTGGGAGCTTCCAAGGAAGAGCAGCGCATCCTTGGAGGGTGGGGAACTCAATGGGAAGGGCTGCAGCGTAGGGAGAAGGTGGCAAAGCAGGGACTGGGGGAGCGTGAGGAGCACGGAGCGGTAGCCCTCTTCCCCTGCCCGGCACCGCGGGGGCTGAGGTATCGTCCCCGTTACCTGTAGGGCTCGCGCAGCGCTCGTCCTTCGCCGACATGCCCATGGTCTCACCGCCGCTGTGCGCACACGAGCGGGGCTGGGCCGAGCGGAGGAAGCCGACGGCCGTTTCCTCCGGCACACGGCGATCCTCAGGGGCTCATTGTGTTCCCGAGGACGCGCTCAGGATGTCGGGGCCGGAGGGGGAGCAGGAGAAGGAGGATGGACGTACAGAACCGCCACACGGCACGCGGCCTCCTATGATTCAGGGAGAGCCCCTGTGTGCCCCCCGTGGCTGCTGGGTGCCCAGGGGCTCTGCTTTGTGCTGGAGCTGAGCTTCCCTGACTGACAGCTTTGTCTGAGATGTGAGCCCACCACGAGGCGCAGCGGGGGTTTGGTGCGTTCACGAGGTATGGGAAGGTGGCTGGGTGATGGCTTGCAAAGCTTGGGGGCACGGGTTGGCCACGGCTGCTTTGGTTAACGAGGAACGGGACGTCCTGGGGCCACCGACCACCTCCCCAGGGTTACAGTGAGGCACTGCATGCGGCGCTCGAGCATCCGCCGCCCCGAGAAGCGGGGAGCGGTGGGCTCAGGCATCGCACACCGCCCCAATTCCGCCCTGCAACCCTCGGGAGCTCAACAATCCGGAGGCTCGCCGCAGCCCACAAAGGAACTGGGAATCCCGGAGCGAAACCCGCCCCGCCCCGCTTCGCCTCCTCTTCCCCCCCCCCCACGTGGCCTCCGCGCGCGTCCCGCCCCACACCGGAAGTTCCCGTCATGCCCCTCGAACCGGAAGCGGAAGCGCGGCGGGCCCGGAGCCGGCGGCGGGCAGATGGCGGAGTGCGGGCCGCAACCCCCCGGGGCTGGAGGCGGCGGAGGAGGAGGCGGCGGTGGGAGCGGAGGTGCCGGGGCGCCCAGCCGGCACGAGAAGAGCCTGGGGCTGCTCACCACCAAGTTCGTGTCGCTGTTGCAGGAGGCCAAGGACGGCGTGCTGGACCTGAAGCTGGTGCGGGGCTGCTGGAAGCTGGGGAGGCCCGGCCGGGGGCATTGCTGTGTGAGGGGAGAGCGTGGGGAGGGCGGGCCGCACGCTGGGGCTGCTCTTCTGCCACCGCCCTGCTGCTGCTGCACGTCCCGTGCTCTGTGTCTGTCTGCTCGTGTGGCCCTTCGGTTCTTTTCCCGTCAGACAGCGCAGCCTTCTGCACCGTGCCCTCCCAGCAGAAGGAAGGCTGCCGTGGGCTGCTCCACCCCTGGCACAGGTTGTCTGTTTAGGCTGCGGGGGGGCGTTGGTGAATTTGCCTTGCTCTTTTTCAAGACTTTCTTGACGGAGGAGCTCTGCCTGTTTGGTATGTGCAGCACTTAAAGCTAAGCCTTTTCTTGATGTGAAACTCCACTGTGGTTTATAGAAACTCCTCTAAGCTGGATATGTGTGTGAGCACCAGAGAGCGTGCTGAAAGTGGGAGGCCTGGGGCAGTCCCCTGGCTGCTGAATGCTATCCTCTCCTGTGCCAGACTGCTATCTCCTTGGATTTGGGCAGAAGAGCAGCATTCCCTAAGCTGGCAGTTCAGTGGGGGTCATGTTTGTTAGTGTGATTTGTGAAGGGCCGCCATAGTCCTGGAGTGTGAAAGGGGAAAGTCATTTCTGCACTGTCCTCTGTGTGACACCACTGTGTGAGTGGCATCAGTTAAACTCTTGCTAGTGCTACACTGCCTTCTGGAAACAATATCAGCATCACCTGGTGCCTCCTGAATGTGAGGGGAGGGTCTTTCAAAGAGTCAGAACCACAGGTGGGTTCTGAATACCTCCAGAGAAGGAAACACCAGAGCCTTTTGGGCAGCCTGTTCCAGTGCTCTGTCCTTGCATCCACGCTTACTGTCCTCCTTGTAGCCATTTCCAGAAGACTCTGCCTCCTGACATTGTGGCTGTTCTCTATGAGCTGGCATCAGGTCTAAATATAAAAGGCCTTTTGAATGTCAGCTTTGCTAAACTGTTGTCTGTCAGCCCTTTACGTTCAGATTCCTATCTCTCCTTATGCTGGAGGAGCACTGAACATTGAGGCTGCCAGGCTTGTAGCCCTGCCTTGCTGCTGAGGAGCAATGTATGGGATGGTGAGCAGACAGCTTGGTCGGGAGTTAATCTGGCAGGCAGGAAAGAGAGAAACATGGCTGAGAGTTTGGAGGTAAGTGTCTGACTTCTCTTGCAGGCTGCAGACACCTTGGCTGTGCGACAGAAACGACGAATCTATGATATCACAAATGTCCTGGAAGGGATTGGGCTGATTGAGAAGAAATCAAAGAACAGTATCCAGTGGAAGTGAGTGACAGAGAAGGTTTAAGTCATTCCTGGGTCCCTTCTAGTCCAAGGTCCTGTCTTCTGGGTGCAAATTATTTCCATGTGTTGAGTTAGAAGATATACCTTTCATAGTGCTGGAGGTGGGGGAGAGCCCTGCTGGGCTGTGGGATGGAGGAGGATGCACTGAGTGGTGCTGTGCTGGAAGATGGTGTGGGGCTGCAGAGCAGGTACAGGTGAGATTCTCTGGCCTTGATGTGTGATAAAGGGGGCAGGAGGGGAGGTGGCAGCTCTCAGAGACTGAGTCTTTTTGGTTGCTCTGTTAGCCGATGCATGTCACTGCTGTTTGCTCTGTACAGGGGGGTGGGTCCTGGCTGCAACACACGTGAGATTGCTCACAAACTCATTGAGCTGAAGGCAGACATAGAGGACCTGGAGCAGCAGGAACAGGAGCTGGAGAAGCAGAAGATGTGGGTTCAGCAGAGCATCAAAAATGTCACAGAAGACGTGCAGAACAACTGATATCCTTTTGTCAGCTGGCCATTCCTCAGGGCTGGAAGGCAGGAGCTGGGGCTGGGCTGGCAGTGCTCTGCTGGGGACACCTCATGTTGATGGAGGATTTGCTCTGAAAGGGTGAGGAGGTTGTGCCCCCCTTTGGAAGCAGAGGAACACTACCCAGTATAGGAAATAGCTTCCTTTGCAGCATTTCTTGTGTTCAGAAAGGAAGGAAACTCCAGGTGCTCTTTGAGTTCTGTCTTCACAGGAAACCTTTCTCCTTAACCTTTCAAACGCTAGCTTATGTGACACATGAAGATATCTGCAAGTGCTTCACAGGTGAGGAAATGGTGCTGCATCATAAAGATATGATACTGCAGTCCTGTCAGCCTATCCCAGCTGCTTTCCTTTCTCCAAGAAAGAGGAGGTAGCACATCTTGGCTTAGGCCTGAGCCTGGGCTGCCCAGTAAGCATCGTGGAAACTGTGGCTCAAGCTTTGCAGCCATCCTTTGGTTTGGGAACCACTGAATTGTAGCTTTGTTGTCACCATAAGAGGTGAGGGAGCAGGAGGTGTCCTTGTCCTGTTGGCAGTTGCAGTGCTAGCTGCAGGGCCAGAAATATCTTGTGAGCAGTGTGGCAGCCTTCTCAGCTGTAGCAGTGTGGATTCAGAGCTGCTTTCTGCTTCAGTAAATGCCTGTCCTCTCCTGACCCTCTGCAACCTACATCTGCTTGCTTGCCTCAGACAGTTCAAGGTGGAAGCTGCTCATCCTGCCCACCCCAGCTGTGCAGACCGTTGTCTGACTGCTCACCTGTTCCAAGCTGTCTCCTTATCCTGCACTGCATCAGTTCTTCCATTTCTCGTCTTTCCTTTCTTGCACTGTCCTCCTTGTTCACCAGACTTTATCCTGCTTGAATTCCTGCTGCTAATTCATGTGCACCACCCCTTGCTTTACTGTTTCTTCTGGTTTAAGGTCATGCTTCTTAAGGGCAGAGTTGTTTTCAGTTTGACAGTGCTTGGGGCCAGATAGTTCATAGCAGCCTGCAGGAGCTTCCTGGAGACCAGCAGACAGATTATTGCTTGGTTGACTGAGCATTTTGCATTTTATTGCACCTGTTTTTTTCTGAAAGAGTTTGCATCTGAAGTCAGACCACACCAAAAAGCACAGAGAAAAGATGAGATCTTAGCAAGGACAAGTCTGAAATCCTTTGGAATGGAAGCCTGAGC